CCGTGCTGGATGTTCTCCGTGATGCCATTGAACTCAAGCGTCTGAACAACGGCATGATGAAGCCTCTTCTCATCGACGACCTGATTGGCGATGCATACGCAATGCTGTACACTTCAATTGGGCCTTCGCTACCGCCTTTGCAATCGGAGCAGCAACCACAGCAGCCCTTGCAGCCTGCACCGCCTCGACCATCGCCTTTCGGTATAACCGCAACAGCTGCAGGTGCTGTACCTATCTCCTCATTGATGCAGGTTCAGGTCGATGGGCCTGCTGACGGAAGTTCCGGTACGCCATTTAACATGTATCATCCCAACCAGCTTCAGCCGCAGCACCCACCGTCAATGCCGCAAATGCCCTCGCAGCCTGAGCAACCCGCAAAACCAAGAGCCAAGGCAGTGGGTCGTAGGGAGATCGCTCGTCGAGCCGAAGCATGTGTACAAAAGATCGCAGGTACAGCTACGCAGCCAACATCAATGCCTATTCGATCGCCTCCACCCAGCGAAGCAGCGCTTCCCTCCATCGTCGGACAAGCCGCCTCACCCGAAGCCGTCGCGCAACCAGCACCTGGACCAGGCACATCCACCGAACATCTACACCCGTCCTTCGACAAGAGCGGTACAGCGACCGCATCTGCCAGTATCAACAACGACGAGCCCGAACGCAGCGCACCCGCTTCCATCCACGACGACGCAGACGACGAGAGCGAGCTTAGCGAGCTAGACGAAGAAGAGGTGGAAGAGATTCATCAGGAAGTTCAGAATGATAATCTGCGTAGATCGGTATCTATTGCAGGCAAACCTCTCTTCCCCAATCTGGCGGCTAATCGAGTTAGTCCCGAAGGAAAAAGGATTGAGACGGCTGCTGGAGATGAGGGCGCGGATGATGATGGCGATGTTATTCATGTGATGTCGAGGAAGGAGGATGGCGATGTTATCCATGTTGGTGCTAAGAAAGATGAGGATGCGATGGATGTTGATGGTGAGAAGAAGTAAGGGGCTTATGGGTTTGGTTCAAAGGGCGCGTAGGAGGATGGTTTTGCTGGATTGTGTACTACTATAGAATAAGTGTGTCTCGTGGCGTTGCTATGAAGAATCATCGGCAAACGAGTCGGAGTATGTTTGTTTCTAGATACCCATCATATAGGGCTGTATATATATCATATTTACTAGATGTTCTGCACCATCGCTGGGTTTGGGCTGGGCCTATGTTGACGACGGTATGGTAGTGTGTTGCGACCAGGCGTCGCCGACGAGCGACTCAAAACTTTCAGAATCTATTTCATCTCCATTCAACAATGTCCTCTCGAATTAGAAGTATCACGGACATACGAAACGGACGTTAGGATCGGAAGCGTAACAGTCGTAAACGTGAAGCGACGTCATCTGTGAGGGTCTCCTTCCTTGACTCGACGTCGTATCTGTTGTTACTTGTAATTTTCTGCATCTCAGCTTGGTTTTCCCATTGGTTCTGACATTGCGCTTGCACATTTCTTTACCATATGCGACTGTGATATATCGGCTGGGCAGCAAACGTGAGCAAGCCACAGCCGTATATAGCGGAGTCCTTTTCTCTGTTCTGGGAGCGTTACTGCTCACCAAGGCATACATACTCACGCGCCAAGTCCAAAGACAAACACAAATGTCTCTACCCGGCACTCCTGACAACAGAGCAGGTGATTCTTTCGAGAACCCACTGCTTGACCACGCGGCTCAACGCGACCTGGTCTCCGAGAAACACTATGCTCTGGATGGGGGCCACAATGAAATCATACAGACTACTCAGGCGTGCGTGGCCTCATACATTACGAAAGGGTTTGCCATCCTCAACAGCAAGGGACTCCGCGTGTTCTTGCAAGACGGTCGCATCGTCACTCAGACGCTGCACGTGTATTCCAGAGATCCAGCTGAGAACACTCTGTCGCGCCTGAACGATCCGACGTGGGAGTTTATCAGTGTGAGGGCCGCTTTGGCTGAGGCGGCCTCTAATAATACGATCTACTATGGTAAGACTGTGAAATTAATGAGCGTCTTGCAGACTTGCTAATCACATAGCAAAGACGTTGACATCAAGTACTTTAAGAAACGTCTTCCCGATCTCCCAGATTTGACTGCAGGAAACATCTTTGGTAAGTCACTTTCCCTACTACACTGCAATTACATACTGATAGTTCGCGACTAGATGCGAATTTCTTTACGAATGACGGTATATTTGGTACCGGTGCTACTTCTGCTTCAGAGCCTGCCGGCGCTCCTTCCTAGACTGGACTTGTCTATCGGCGTGGTGTTTGATGGACTGTAGTCATGATGGATCCTCGATCACGGCTGGAGTATTGGAGTGAAGTGTTCCTCTTAGATACCAATGACATATGGCTACACACAACACGTGAAAACCAACACTTTATTCCAGAATGAGTGACCGAGTATATGCGTGTTTGCTGGGTACAATTAGTGAATGGCCTGAAATCGAGGTAAGGCACGTACACTGAAGTTGATGTACACGATACGTTGTGACATCACGCTCCTGCTTTTCGCCGCGTCCTTCGCCTTCCACTCGGGTATCGCGCCTTCCTCGATCAGCCGTAGCGTCTTGCAGTTTGCGATAGCGATTGCTCAACTCGGAAGCACCTCGTGTTGATTTGTCCGTCACTCAGCAAACCCAATGCTTGCGTCCACAGCACACGACTACGAGTAGCAAGCTCGAGGTCCCATTTCAGGCATATAATCCCGCGTTTCCCACGCTGTCTCTATCAAATATCAAGGCTGCAGTGGCCCCTGACCACCCCGTCGACAATGCGCTCCTTCACTATGGCGAATGCGCTCTCACTTTCGTAGTGAGGGGCAGTGATGGGAGGTCACCTGGACTTTGAGTAAAGGTCAAGGTGACCGCTGAGGAGAACCGCCTTGGTTGTATAAGTAGGTGGTTCCGAGCGGGTTTATGGTTCCTTCTTTCTATACACCACTGCTACAAGAAGAGATATCAGTCTTGTACACATCAATTCCCAGTAAGTTCTCTTGGATACACTGCCTCTGTTTACTCTACTAATTATGTCACGGAAGTTATATATACCACGATCAAACTCTCCAACTGAAAGAAGATATGTCCGCCGCCGCTGGATCCTCTCCACCTCCTCCGCCCCCTAGCGGCAATTCCAACAAGAACACTGGCCATGGATCTTCTTCGTACCCCAACCTCAAGATCCCTCTATCGGGAGACGGAAGCACTCCCCAGAAGGCTGCATGGGCGAGCATCATGTTCCAGCCCCCTGGTATTACGAAGAACTATATCGTCGACGGCGTCGGACTCTTCCCACGCTACCGCCGGACCCGTGTCGATGAAGCCCGTGAATACGCACGCCTGTCATATACAATCCTCGACGGAGAGACCTACGAGGTCATCCCCGAGTCTCATCTCCCCCCGGGTCCCATTGGCAACCCCTCTATGCCCCCTGCTGCGGGTATCGTAGCTCAGATGCAGGACATTGCCGCTCATGAGAACGCACTTGCGACGGGTTCGGGGGCAGCAACTGATGCTTACAACGCGCTGCAAGTTCACCGTGAGTCTGATGTATCCTCCTCGCGTTATCATGGCTGACACTTTGTAGACGGCGACGCGTTTGTAGACGACAACGTCAACACTGGCAACTCATCGGAAGACGCTGCTGGTAAGTCGGTTCAGCGATATACCAGACGAAGTCGTACTAATCGTTTGTCAGAATCCTCTTCAGATACGTCTGGCGACCGCTCGGCTGGTGCCTCTTCTACAGACTGAGACCTGGCTGTAGGATTTGTGCTTTCACTTCGGAGCGAGATTGCGCGCTCTGGGTAAATTCGACTGAAAAGAGTGGGCAAGTAGATGCAACGGAGTTTATCTTGTTAGTCACGGCGTTAGTAGATACCCCTTGGATAGAAGAGAATAAGATATGAGATATAAAGTCGAACTCCGTCTTCACACTGCATTTGAATGAGACTACCGCTCGCGGAAAGACTACATGATACCTCCGGGTTTCCTCTCATCAAATCTGACCAACATGTGGCGCGCTACCAAGAAAAGACAGACGATGTGTTATGTATCGTCATTCGATTGTGTAAACCCACCAGCGCTCACGACATGTCATGTACATCTACTGCGGTACCTTACTGCCCGCCTTGCTTCATCGTTGGCGTTCTCGCTTTCCGCAGGTCTTGGCCGGTTACTACGCTTACGCACATGCATCAATCTCGTCAAGTTACGCATGTGTTTCCGTAGTTGTACAGACTTGTAGAAACTTATGTATTGGCTAGAGATATCTAGTAGGCGTGCATCAGCGCCTCTAAATTTTACCTTCCTATCATGATGAAAAGACGGCGCATCTCTATCGTAGCACTCGCGTATCACATTCTCTAAGTACACCCGCACACGAGGGCAAAAACATACTGCTTACTTTGCACCTCTGCAGCTGTGCTTCTGACCCACACGTGGTTCAAAAGAATGTGCGTAGCCCAACTTCACATAGCCATGGTGAGAGAAAGGGCAAAAAAAGATTGTCGCAATTAATTGGCGGTACTGGGAACTGTAGACATGTTAGGAATGTCTCAGGACCACCAATGAGGGAATGAACGTACTCGAACCCAGGCTGGCGCGGATCTGGATCGGGACACTAGGTGTCCGCCAGCCACAACGCGACGTCATACCACTAGACCATACCACGATAGGGTTGTTAGTACGGTGATTGGGAGAGTGGCTTGGAAAGCTGCTTACCCGAAGTGATTCGTTTTGTTGGAGAATCGAAGAAAAATCAACAATATATAGACAGCAAATTGCATGTGTGCGACCAACATCACTCCCACAGACAAGTCTCCAATAAGCATGTGAATCAGAGTTCTGACAGCAAAATCTGGATGCGATGGCGGGGTTGAAAGGTCTGTGCTCCTCGCTAATGGTGGGGCTGGATTTCCTGGTCGCGCCCGAGTTGCTCTTTCTTCACCCAGTCAGTCACAACAGCAACACACCTAAGTGCTCGAATGTCCATAGGTATGTGATTTGAAGTACTCTACAGGCCCAGCTACGCGTTAAAAGAACGCGATACTCCAGCTTCAGCGTGAGTTCATCGATATCTAAGATGGCTGGAGCTCTACATGACGAAGGCCGCTTGGAGCTAGTGCTGCATTTGGCGATTTTACCTGCATCTTCGACGAGGGTGGACACCACTAACGCTCGCATCAGAGCACTCATCACCTCGGCAGTCGCGAGGTAAGCCGCGCAAATCCTATCGCGTCGAGGATGAATACTCGTTTCTCGATGAAGACGAGGATGGCTCTGCGCCCTTCGGCAAACAGACGCCATCCGTCCAAAACGGCGATGATGACGACGGTGATGACTTTATGCCGGATGCCCAGGAGGAGGAGGCTGAATACGAAGAAGAAGACGAAGTGGTAGAGGAGGAAGAGGACTCATCTGAAGAGCATGCCAATTCCGACGAAAGCCCTGCACCAACTCCAAAACGCAATGCACGCGATGCACGGAATGCGCGAGTACCTCAAGCCGTGCCTACCACCCCAGACGTTATTCCGAAACGACGGTACAATGATCCCCGCTACAAGGACATGGCAGACAACATCCCGTCACCAGTCATATTCAAGAAAGGAGGTGGCATCAAAGTACGGGTTGTCGATACGGACACCCAATTACGAACGCGAGGTATCCCTGATTTCGACAAGATCGGCGGTCATGAGCCGCGGCTGAAGAACCTGTTTGGTCCAGATGTACACCATCTGAGACCAGTACTCGAATCGAGGGACTATTGGTTTCCGCAAGAAACTTTCCCTATCCGGAGTTACAAGAAGAACAAACCTGATGATGCTGAGGTGGGTAGCTTGAGAAGGAGCTTCTTCGAAGCCGAAGGCGCGAGGGAGAAAGAGAATGAAGTCTTGAAGACGTGGTATGCCAATACCGGAAGCCATGCTTTTGCAAAAGCGCAGACAACGAATAAATTGACCGCGGACGAGGCGAAACAGTACATGATAACCCCAGGATCGGACACCATGAACGTACTGGCTGGTCCGGTGAACACCCCCCAAGTCAACACGCTGGCAAGAGGCGCATACATGAGCATCGCAAAACCCTTCCCAGGCGATCAAGAGCGACGCGGTTGGCTGTTCAACCTTGGTTCTTGGGTACAAGACGCTCAATGGGCGACGAACGAGGAATCCAGCACCCAATATCTTGCTGTCGCCATCGATCAGAGACCTACTAGCGGCGACCAGCCCAAGCCACTTGAGCAGCCAAAAGCACCTGCATTCAATCCTACTGAGCCCTTCCCTGCGTCTATTCAGATATGGTCGTTCGAAGCTGATGATGTAGGCGATTTGGATGCGTCGAAAGAGCCGCAACTAGAGCTGGTCATCTGCACAGACTGGGGTGCGCCAAAACACCTGAGATGGTGCCCGGTAGCTGCTACAGACATGACTGAAGAGACGAAAGACGCAGGTAGCAGGCCTATAGGTATGCTTGCAGGGATTTGGTCCGATGGACGAGTGCGTGTCTTGGATATCTCCGCACCTCCCAAAGCCGACACTCACACTCCTACGTATCTTCGTATTTCACGTGCTGCATTCGAAGTTTCATTTCCTCAAACAGTACCTTCGTGCTTACACTGGCTGTCGGGACATACAATCGCAGTTGCGACTGCAGCAGGCACTGTAGGCATTTGGTCCCTCGATCGCCCAGGCACACTGAGAACACCCGACGCCACACATCACAACCCCAGACCCTGGTTCTATCAGCAATTGGCAGATACGTACATTCTCACAGTATCCTCTGGATGGCCGTCTAACCCGCAATTCCTGTCTATCAGTACCGCAGACGGTTTCGCGCGCCTCTTCGACCTACGAAGCCCGAATGCGGATACCACCGCTTCGATACGCGGTCGCACGCTTTGTCTAACGCAGGCATGGCACGAGCATACGCAATCCTTCGTCATGCCTGATGAACACTACATTCTGCGACACACGCCCATCCGCCGTTACTACCACAACCTGTACAGCATGCGATTAGAAAACAGTATCACACGCGTCGCGACAAGCCCGGTCCACCCTGGCGTCCTCATTGGTGGAGTTGACGGAGACATCCAAGCCAGCAACCCTATTATGCGCATCACGAACTACAAGATCATGCCGTGGCAACAGAAATGGTTTGTCCACGAGTGGAGAGGACCGATCGTTCGCATGCCAGCCAAGCCCACGATTGGTGAAGATGTCACCATGACTGAAGTCGAACCAGCTGAGCAGCCTGATGGCGACACCGTACCCGAGTTGCAAGCCGGAGAATCAGCTGATGGAACCAAGAAGGTACCGCAAGAAGTACTCTCGCAACCTCTCGTCCGCATCACCGAAGGCTACAAGGCTGGTCAAACAGGCATTGCGCACAGTACATCTGCGAATGCGACTAAGAGGGGAAACCCAGAGGTGGGAAGATCGATTAGTATCTTCGAAGAGCTGACTGCCATCACGGCGCTGGCTTGGAATCCGAATCTGAAGTTTGGAACGTGGGCTGTTGCGGGTATGGCATCGGGGTTGTTGCGCGTGGAGGATGTTGGTATCTAGGAAGGGAAATCGAAGATACTCCTAGTGCCAGTAGCTCATGGTATGGCGAAGACTTGCTGTGGGCTGCAGACCGACTTGGCGAAGTCGAGACAATTGCGCACGGAACTTGATACAAAGTATTGTGTTACATGCTTCATGATTTCATTGGTTCGTATCGTAATCTTACTACAACATCTTCTAGTTGACAGCCTTCAACTTGCACATCAAAGGGTGCTTCTCCCAAAGAATGAATGTTTTCTGGTTACTCCAATCACTGCTCTCAGGGCAGAGTTCAATATCGAAGTTGTAGTAGACCTTGGAAGCAAGGAGGCGTATCTCGTGGTATGCCATACTAAGTTTACTGTTAGCTTGCTATGGTCTGTGTACGTATGCTAAAAATGAATATCGAGAGAGGGCTGTTGAACTTACTTCTTGCCAACACAATCCCTAGATCCAATAGAGAAAGGCTGAACACACTGCCTCTCATCGCTCTCAAACTCGGGATCACCCATCCATCTCTGAGGCAGGAATTCTAGTGGCCTCTTGAAGTTCTTGTCCGACAGGTACATGGCGTGTTGCGGGATCATGATGATGGTGCCGGGTGGTACGTATTGGCCGACAACAGTACTGCCGTCTTGCGGTGTGAGGCGAGGGAGTCCAAGCGGAACCGGTGGGTAGATACGGAACGCTTCCTTGATGCAAGCCGATAGGTAGGGCAATGCAGCGAGCTGCTCCATGGTCATGTCGGCATCGCTAGCGAAAGCGCTACGGATCTCATGGTTGAGCTTCACCATGCAGTCCGGGTTGCGCAGGAGAAGGTATGTCAGGCCCGAAACGAGTGTAGCTGTTGTTTCCGTTCCGGCGATCATAAAGAGGGAAGCATTTGCGTCCATCTCACCTCGGGTCAGGCCTCGTCCTTCCTTTTGGCCCAGCACCAGATCCCATAGATCGACCCCTTCGGAATCGCGGCCTTTCTCAAGGCGCTTTGTCACGCGCGTTACAGAGTGGTTGAAGTGGTCCATCCGCTTCCGATTTACAGACTCGGGTACGTATCTCTTGAACGCACGCCATAGCCATGGATATGACATCATGACGGTGAAGTGAGATCCCATCTTGAGACTGGCAAAGATGATACGAACCCAGGGGTCGTATTCGGCGTTGTCGAGCATATGCAGTGGCTCTCCGAAAGTCAAGTCGCCCATGATATCAAAGGTGGTGAAGTTGTACATCCTGACCATGTCGAACTTCGCGGTTGGATTCTTTTCGATGGTGTTCTTCATGGAAGATACAAGTTTGTCGACGTACTTGACGAAGAGGGGCTCTTGTTGTTTCAAGGCTCGGTCGGAGAATGCGGGCGTGAAGATCTTGCGTTGGCGACTGTGGTCTGGGTCGGGGGCAATGATGAGGCTGAGTTCCCGATTGGGTGTTGTGCCATACCTCATCCAGGCTTTTTGAGGAACATGTCCTGCCGTGCCTTTGGAACCATGGCCGTAGATCTGGAAGGTGGTTAGTCGGTGTCGAAGATTACATTTGCTTTTTCGGGCACCTAAGAAGGTAGCGGGAGGTTCCAACTCGAACCTGGAACGTCGAGGGGGCGTTCAAGTATATCTGTATCAAAGTATGCGAAACTTACATCTTTCCAAGAATTTGGATCCGTGAAACTCAGTTCATCGTGGTTGACACGAACGACATGCCCATACTTTTGGTGTAAGTCTTGGAAGAGTTTATCTCGTGTGCCTTTCCAGATAGCAATGTTATATGGGATGCGCGTCGCAGCGTAGAGTTTCGGTCCAGGAAAGTGTCGGAGGGGATGGAAGTATATGCGGTAGATGGCTCTAGCAATGAAGCGGAGGACCAGCTATGCGAAGTTAGCAGCTATTTTTCTGACGAGCTTCCGCGAATTAAGCAGTACTTACAAAACCGATCAGATAACCAACGATGTGCGGTATCGAGGCCATGTTGAAGATTTTCGTGATTCCCGAAGAACCGTTTGTTGATGTTGGAGACATGACGCTTGGAGTTCTGCCACCATATGATGATCTTGATGCAGGGCACGCGCAAGCTTTAAGTACAGACGAGTACAAGCACTACATTCGTCGCACTAAAAGAAACGGAGTAGGTGCCATGCCGAGACGGGACACAGCCAGCTCGCCTAGTACCGTTGACGTCGGTAGCCAGTAGCCAGGCACCCAGTGTCAAGTGATCGGCTGGAGTAGCCCAAATGTCGCACCTAATGAGGCATTTGACGCGAGTCGACCATCCGTGGGGAGGATGTTTCCCACGCTCACCGTCCGGCTAATGAGGATCATTAAGCTCGTCCAGAACCCACTCCCTCGGAGGGTCGGCAATCAGGTCTGGCAGATGGCTGTGCGGGTTGAGCACAGCCTGGTTTCGTACATCAGGGCGTAATATGACATGTGAAGCCTGCCAAATATGTTTCAGAGTGTGGCAGATTCCGATAGGACACTTTCGTCCGTGCAATGCTCACCGGCCGATCGCTCGGAGAATTGAGTTTATACGTTGCATACGATGCTGTGGGGAAACCGGGTGATCAGCATGGATACTCTTCCGGACATTCGAATCGCTCTCGCATGCGCATTCGGACAAGCTTCCTGGCAGATCTGTACATCTGGTAAATAACTATCCCCAAACTGCAGATTTTGCATGTCACTATCGGAGCCGAGTTGCAAGCAATGTTAGTAGCAGCGACGTTGTCGTCACATCTCACCACACGACCTCGGGAATGCACAAACCCGAACGTACACAGCCAAACTTATGCGGAAGAGACTAAACGAAAGCGACCAAACGAAAACGCGACGCCCAGAAGCAGTCGTCACCTGAACATGTGCAATGCTAATGCGAATGATGATGATTCGCCCATGAGCATAGTCGGTGAAATCGGCAAACAGCAGTGCACCGCCATCGTGTACGCAGACATGGCCCGTGCGGCTATCAGATCGTGACTTCGCGTTGAGGCGTTTCCGTCCCAAGGGCAACAAATCAACCCCACCCACCCTTGCACGTCACAATGGCAGCAACACCAGCACGCAGAGGCGTCTCCGCCCTGCTCTCCGCTTCGTCATCAAGAACAATCGCCAACCGGACACAACAGCGGGGCTTCACTTCATCCCGCATCTTCGCCGCATACGCGACTGCACCCAGGCCAGCAGCGACGAGCACGACAAGCACGACCAGTACCTCCACAGCTGCCAAGCCAGCCACAACAACTTCAACAGCGGCGAAACCCGCGACCACACCGACTCCACAGCGGACAGTACAACCGCAGTTTGTTGCCAAAGAACCGCCTATACCAACAACACGCAATGCCACCGCAGAAAGCGCAGCAACAGCAGCCCGCAAACAACGCTCCCTTACCGACGGACTCTCCGATGCCCCGCCCGAACTAGAAGGCGTACCGGCGATAGACTGGACACGGTCATACCACGGTCTCGGCTCCGTATCCTTCACACCAGAGCAAGGAGAATTGCTACTCGCGCCTATCACCCAGGATGACGTGGAGGTGAAGCCCGATGGTATCATATACTTGCCTGAGATCAAGTACAGGCGGATATTGAACAAGGCGTTCGGACCTGGAGGGTGGGGTCTTGCGCCGAGAGGCGAGAGTATTGTTACGGGCAAGTTGGTGACGAGGGAGTATGGACTTATTGTGCAGGGACGGTATGTTGTTCTTCGCTCCATCCGCTATCCTTCTGAATTATCACTAATGAATAACTTAGACTCGTCTCCATCGCCCGTGGCGAGCAACAATACTTCGACCCCGACGGCATTCCCACTGCGACCGAAGGCTGCAAATCGAATGCCCTGATGCGATGTTGCAAAGACCTGGGTATCGCGTCTGAACTCTGGGATCCGCGCTTCATTCGGGATTTCACGAATAAGATGACGAAGGAGGTGTGGGTGGAGCATGCAAGCACAAAGAAGAAGAGGAAGATTGTGCTGAGGAAGGACGACACTGCCAAGTATCCGTACAAGGAGGTGAAGTTGTAAGTGGGCTTGAGTCATGCCGGGAATCATATAGCTGGAAGGGAATAGACCCAATCTCAGGAATATCAGGCATAGAACCTCACGCAAGCCAGACGTGGTTGTACGTATAGGTTGTAACATCACCAGGACGATTAGTCCTACTCGTACTCATGAAGTGGGATACCAAATATACACAGCTTCAGTGTACCTGTGAAGCCTAGCAGAATACCATCTACCTTGTTGCCCAAACGCCATGAATCATCGCCATTATATCACAGGTTTTGTCCTCCAGGGATTCTTCTAGCGATCGCCTAGATCAAAACCTGAAGCCCTTGATCTGTTCCTCACATCGCTTGGCTCCCTTCCATACGCCAGAGGGTCGTCACGAGGCATTTCCTGACGCTGCCAGTTCCACGGCATCCAGCCACTGCTTGTCCTTCGACCGAGTGCGGGTGGTGTGAGGGGGTATGGTGGTCGGTCGGAGCCCGAGCTCAGTTCGTCGCGCTCGATCCTGTCGAATTCCGCTTCGCTCCTGTTGCGGGAGAGGCTACCAGAGAGACTTCCAGTACTCCTGTTGACTTCGTGGTATCTGCTCCCACCTGTTTGTTGTGTGCGGATGTTTTCTTGTTCGCGGTCGAACGCTTGCAGGAGGGTCTCGAGGCGCTGGCGTTGCGACGCAACGTAGTCGAGTCGGTCGTTGTTGTTGCGGATAGAGTCTGGGACGAGGTTCCCGGCGCCGCGGCTCAGATCTGAGGCTTGCGCATCTCGAGTGCCTGCGCTACCAGCACCGTAAAGTGCGCTGGCTCCGCTGAGTGCTTGGTTGACAAGTCCGTATAGATCGTTGCTGCCCCTCGCCGAAGGCATCTGGAACCTGCTCATGAGGTTTTGTGCGTACGTCTGCCCTTCTGGTCTGGGCGACTGCGGCTTTCCGGGTGCGAAGCCCAAGACGTTGACCTTGACCCACTCGATGCCCATCTCGACATATGCCATGCCTGCCGATTTGGCACGATCATGACTTTGTGTAATGAACTCGTCGATCTCCCTCTCATGGTGGTAAAGGAAAGGCTCCATGTACTCCTGGTACAGGTAGTTTGCGCCCTGCGAACCAGGCAGGATCAAGTAAAGGTGTGCGAAGAAGCGAATCCATGAGTAAAAAGGCACCCAGCTGAGGATGAAGTCGAAGGTGTTCTCTACGGCTGTGCAGGCGGAGAGGACGACGAAGTAGATCAGCCAGGGTGCGAGGAGGGCTGGATCCGAGGTGTGAAGAGCTTTGTAGGAGGCGAAGATAGGGAAGAAGACGGTGGTTGCAACGCTATCGCCATATTAGCTAGGTTCTCTGGGAATTTGTCCCAGCAAAAAGAAAATACTGCATATCGCAGTCATGCGAGCTCCAAGAAAGCAAGCGGCGAGCTCACGATACCTCATCAGGCCTCAAAGTTTGTTGGAGAATTGGCAGCTACAGGCGGGGGCGGGGTAATACTTACGTCAAACCGTCGGCGACAAAGCCGAACATGATCGCAGTCGTTGAGCGTCTTCTTTGGGTGTAGGTGTTTAGGTGAGAGATGCAGGACCAGGACCTACAGGTAGCGAAAGCTCAAGCCTCACGGATACGCGGGCGGAGATGTGGAGTGGCTCAGGCTGATGATCCATCCGATGTACGTCAGTCGTCAGTCGGCGGTCAAGGGCGGCGCGCTATCCACTTTCGGTCCTTTGTGTGTGAGCTCCCGAACGTCAGCTGCTGTAAAGAGAGTCTGATCGCGATGCTAGAAATTGTAATCAGGGACATGAGACTCTCATATTGACTAGCTAAACGTGGGTTCCCATTGTTGTTGGCGGTAGTTGCAGTCGCGACTTTCCCTTCGAACTCACGTCGCGAACGCGTGTCGGCCCAATCATAGCAGCTACCACCACCACTTCAAAATATCGATTCTTCTTCTCTTCCATCTCTTCATATCTCTCTCTGTACTCACCGACGCTTTGTTTCGCTCCGATCCCGTTCGCTTGGGCCTTTTCAGCCGCGTTCTGGTAACTTCATGAAAGGCAGTAGCGACCAGGTACCGCGATAGCATCATCACGATGCCGTTCCTTCCTACGCGACTGCACGGTGCAGCTACTGTATACTTCCTTCTTCGAAAATTGGTTCAATCAGATACCATGGGGTTAGCTAAGGTTCGGCTCGTCTACATATTTGATTGCGCGCGGAACCCAGTTGCGCTCATCCACAGCTTGACACGCCTACGTCCGAGACTTGTACCGCTTTTACAACACTCGCCTTATAAACATCCGAAATGGCAGGCCGGGATTCTACCAAGACGCTTCTTATGCTGCCATGGCGCCAAGATACCGCTTATCAGAGCCCTGCGCTCGATAACAGCTCCGCACCCCGCGTTTGCGGCCGTTGTCGCGGTTGACATCATCCCATTCTTCTCCAAACTACGGAAGAAGAAGCTATCGTGAACAATAGAATGCGGCAAGGGTTACGTAAAACGGCTATCTTCTCCCCCGATATCATACTATACCTATTAGTATGCAACGGTCTTCTTGGCTTGTGCTTGTAGTTCCTCTCCCGCGAGTAATACTCCAGTGAAACATCTCCAATGGATCTCCAGAAGATATGGCTTCTTGGCTTCGCCGGGAAACAACGTCTCGCGTACCTCGAAGGGAGGAAGTTGAAGGCCGAACGACGTATGCCAATACTTGAGGATCCGTATTTCTAATCGAACCCTGCCGTACGATACCTCAAGAAGGTATAAGAGCAAGCGAATGCCCTTAGTCTCACGTGTAGCAGTAATTTTCTAGAGGCGTCAACATCCATACTAAACGCAGATATGGTCGTCATTAAATCTCTAGCAGCTCTCGCATCCTTTGGATTAACCATTGCAGCACCGCAAGCTTCAGTGTCATCATCAGCTGTGAGCTCCCCCAGTCCATCGGCGTCAATCTCAGCGATCCTTACCACCGAGGAGACGGATGATCTGTTCAGTCTTCATGAAGAGTTGGTCAATATCCCATCCATCTCTGGGGATGAGGTTGAATGCGCAGAGTTCATATCGAAGTATCTCTCGGACCTGGGGTACTACGTCGAAGAGATCCCTGCTGGAGACACCGGCACTTTCAACGTCTTCGCTTATCCTCAAGAGCTCAAAGATGAGGGAGTCTGGCCGGAAGTTCTGATCACTAGTCATATCGACACGGTAAGGACGACGAGCTCCAATAGAAGTTTCACCATTAATCTCTAACACGGGAATAGGTGCCACCATTCTACCCTTTTGAGCGTAAAGAAGAAAATGGTACAATCTACCACTTCGGACGTGGCTCGGTCGACGCGAAAGGCCCTGTTGCAACAATGATCATCGCATCCCACAAGCTCTTCCAATCGAGGACCGACACGCCCAGCCTAGGAATGCTTTTCGTTGTCGCCGAAGAGACTGGCGGTGCGGGGATGAGAGCCTTCGCCGAGTACGCATCCAACACCACCTTCCGCGCAGGTATTTTCGGCGAACCAACGGAAGGCAAGCTAGCTAGTGGACACAAAGGATACCTGGGTGTAAGCTTGGACATTACAGGTCGATCTTCGCACTCCGCATATCCCTGGCTCGGTGTGAGCGCCATCAATTATCTTGCCGAAGCCATTGTTGGACTGAACATGCTCGAACCGGCTCTGCCGAGAAGTGAGCTACTAGGCGCAACGACTCTCAACGCTGGACTCGTTGCGGGTGGAGTCGCTAGCAATGTCGTTTCCGACCATGCTAACGCAAGTATCGCCGTTCGGATAGCTCGCAGCGAAGACGATGCAGTCGACCTTGTGCAGGACATGATCGCTGGGATGCTGTCGCCTTTCGAAACGCGCGCAAAGGAGGAGAACGCTACTTTCGAGGTCGTTTTCTCGAACGCTAGGTATCCCGCGGTCATCCTCGACACTGACGTTGAGGGCCTGGAAGTCGCGCCTGTGTTTTTTGGAACGGATATTCCCAGCTTGCCGCAAGTGGATAAAAAGTACTTGTTTGGTACTGGTACAATCGAGGTCGCGCATACGCCTGATGAGATGTTGAGTCAAGAGGAACTCGTGCAGGCGGCGGAGGCATACGGTATGATTCTTGAGAGTCTGTTTTCTGAGTAGAAAGGTCGAGCTCTAGTACGCTAAACGAGTCTCAATACTAGGTGGAATCATGCAATGCAACCGTAATGCCCTATACCACACATTGTTGAATGTCCACCGAGTTATTTGACGCTGAGTTGCTTTACAATAAAATGCTCGTGTGACAGACCATATCCCGTCGTTTGCGTAGTAATATGGAACTGAGGACTCAGTCGAGCTTGCTCAGGACGATTGTTATAGGCGCGACATGGAGGAAACTGCTTGCTTAAGCCATGCGCCCACCAGAAGCAAGCGCGGAAATCTGTATATGAAGTCGCGCCGGAGGCTCTCATAACACATCAGTTCACACCCTCCACTCCATCTCTTCCGCATAGACGGTGTCGAGATCATGTCAGGGGCGCACCACCACCGCCCTTTCCTCCGATGTCTTTGCGCTCTCTCGCCGCTTCTCATCTGCGGGGAATTGATGCCGTCATCGCCCCTTCTTTTAAGTGAAGGCTGTTTGCAGCGCTCTCTTACCGCGCCTTCAGACCTTTCATTGAGGTACTTTTGCTAAGTGAGAGACGAGAGTAATGGCGCCATGATGCACCTGACGCCTGAAGCAAACGGTCTTGGGCTCCTGTCTTCGGATCTGGGGTGTCCATATAAACCGCTGATCTGGTTCCTCCTTGACTCTTTTCTTGATCAACAATCCTTCGATACATACAGTACACTTCGACTACTATATACCTCTTTCAAACCTCAAACACACCCCTCATACCATACCTTCGAGTCGACTACTATATACACCTCTCACACCCTCAACACAACTCCCACACTACACTTCCAAGCCGACATGTCTATTCCACCTCAGTACGGACCTACCGCACTACCTCAAGGAGCAAACGACGGCGGCGACGGCTCCTCCCTTGACAAGGCAACGTGGGTAGCTGGCAGCGACAAGACCAAGCCCAGCTTCATTGTACTGCAAGGCAAAGACTATGTACGCTGCAACATGGGCGATGCTCTCCAGTTCTACGACACCGGCTACCGTATATTCGACCCGCCTACTGGTCGCCGAGTCAAGTTCCAATGGAAAGGTGATGATCGTCCCAAGTTCGCTGCTTTCGCACACCAGTACTGGGAAATCCAAATGGAGGAACATGCCTCCTTGGTGAGGGGTGATCGCTTGCCTGGAGAGGATCTGGGTGAAGGTTAGTGAAATACATGTTGACGAGAGAGAATTCGGACACTGACATGTTACAGATGCGGAGGAAGAGTATGAGTTCGCAGGAGATTCGGTCTTCGACCGTGCCGAACAACCTCCTTCGACGCCCTCGAGGAGTAAGTAGCAACCTCGTCACATCTCTCTTGGGATCGAGCTAATACTTTCAAGGTACACATGGAAACCTAGCTACGTCTCCTCCCTCCGGCGGTCGTGGACGCGACAGTCCTTCAACTCCACGAGGCCCCAGCTCTGGCGGTCAGCCAGGATCTGGCCGTGGTTCAGCTGGCCGCGGCTCCAACACTCCCCGAGGTCGAGGCTCAGGTGGCTCCGGACGAGGTCAAGGATCGCCGCGGTCGCCGACGTCACCCTCCTTCGGCAAGGGTAAGGGTCCAGCTGGCTCACCTGGTGGCGACTCTCCCGGCGCTGGAGCGGCTTGAGATGGAAGAGGGGCCTACACTTCCCTTCGTATTTGCTTTCTGGAGTCTTGGTTTGTGAAAGACGTCTTGCATTCGGGATCGATTTAGCAAGGCGTTTGGGATGGCAATGCGAATACCCCTAGACCTTTGGAGATAGACCTTAAAAGTATACAATTGGTTTTCCATCTAAAATCGAACCTAAAACGATGATGTTGGTGAGAAGAATGTGTACTCACGCTGCGTCTAACTCCGTGATAGATTGTCGAAGTTCTTTACGCGTCATCTTCGTGATTACTTCGTGACCTAGAAAGGACCTGAGAATCTCCAGGCATACGTAGGACATGTACTGCGATGATCTGAAAAGCAAGTTGCCGAATACGTGGCTGCGCTAATCAGTACCCAAGGGTCTACAGACGTCCTCATGCAGGGTACCGCGTCGATCTGAAAGCATGATGAGGTATACGCGTTGCTCAGATCCGACAGAATTATTGACAAAAAGGAAGCCTGCGGTCCCTCGGTGTGGTGTACGTATGCGGCGGATCAGTCGCGATAAATGCGTTTAAAGGAGGCTGGAGGAATGAGGTCGGAATTGGCCGAGGAGCGTTCCGACGAAGGCGCAGGGCGTGTCTTGGAACCCGAGAACGCGTAAATTACGACCAACAAATCATCGCTTATCTGATGCTGCATCTGACATATCCGTCAAGCTTCTGTAAGCCTGTCAAGATGGTGAAACCACGCAGATCGATCTCGGTCGGGATACACCTGCCAGCTCCCTCGTGCAGCGCGCCTGCCACGCGAGCAATGACGTGCGACGATCTCCGACGAGCGCGTGCGTGACCATCGCCAGGTTACTAAACTTCGCAGTCCGCACATACATCATCCCTTCCGGCCATCGCGACGTTCGCTGTGCTCCATATTTATTTCATACGGAGCGATCAGCCACAACTACTCATGTCCTATGACGCGCCTGTGGCTGTTGTCCATTGGTCGTACCGGTCTCCGCTGGATCCGCTAAATGCTGCTCACGCCTCGCACCTACTCCCTCGCTCACATCGCCGACACGGGCCGCAAACGCCCTGAACCCTCGTACTTTGTGTGTGTCAAGTCGCGGAAGGAACGTGAAGCCGAGGAAAAGCGCGCGCTGAAGATGTTGCTGCTGCATCAAAAGGGGAGCGTCAAGGTGGGAGAGGTTGTGAGGTAAGTTCTCAGGGTCTGCCGGCGGGATGGCATGGACGCTGTACGCACTGTCTATACGAGATGGGCAGTGCGCGACAACGTTTAGGGAGATTGTAGGACGGATTACTAAGTCGCCATGCAGATACACGCTCACATACACCCCATCCGAAGACCGCATATTACCGCCTCCTTCCTCCCTCCACGTTCGCATACGAAACTCTTCCGCCATCCCACTACGCGCCGCATACCTCCACGGGCCATACACGATTCACGTATCCGCCTACCCTTCAACATTCAACCCGAACAAGAAGTCTGACGCAACCTACGGCGAGCCTGACTTTGAGCCTAATGTCAAGGCTGGTGGATACTGGAACACCAAGTTAACTGTTCCGGAACAGTACAGAAGTGACATCAGGGAGGATGATGGCACTCCAAAGAGCCTCACATGGATCATCGAGATCGCGTCGCAAATTATCTTCTCCAATTCCGCGTCTGTGAACTACGAATTGTTGGTGGCACGCGACGAACGATCGCTAGACCTAGGCTTTACTGCTGTCACTGGCAATAGCCATGGAACGCCAGGAAAGGTGCAAGACCACCAACAGGGCAGCCAGAAACACGTTTCGCACCATCCGGCACAGCCTAAGGGGGTGTATTCAAAGGCAGTCAAGCTGGTCGTTGATGACACTACAAGCTTATGGAATACTCCGGAGCTACCAGAGTGGAAAGAGGAGGACGAGGTCTCATCAAGAAAGTCGAAAGATCACAGTAGTCCGACGGAGAGCCGGCAGAAGAAGAAGAACATACACCTTGTGATAGTAACGCATGGTCTACACAGCAATCTCGGCGCGGACATGCTATATCTGAAAGAGAGCATTGATGCGACGGCAAAGCAAGCGCGGGAAGATCGAAGACGGCGGCGAAGAGAGGAAAGAGGAGCCAAGAAGACCGGATCAGATCAAGATGCGTCGACAGCACCACTATCAGGCGGTCAAGAGGACATACCAGATGATGAGGAGGATGATGATGAAGAAGATGTGATTGTTCGAGGTTTCGACGGCAACGTAATACGTACAGAACGTGGCATCCAGTATCTCGGGAAGCGGCTCGCTAAGTACGTGTTGAACCTGACCTACCCTGATCAACCATACCTGCCGATCAAGAAGTCCATGGGGCAGAAGTTGTCCAATACATTTTCGCCAACGAAAGACAAGCCAGACGAAGGCATACCGTCCCATCACGGTAGCAGTGTGATGCACACATCCCCAGGACATGACAAGCGCGCATACAAATTCACGAGCATCAGCTTCATCGGCCACTCTCTTGGAGGACTGGTACAGACGTACGCAATCGCATACATTCACAAGCACTCTCCCAATTTCTTCGACACAATCAAGCCCATCAACTTCATCGCTATGGCGTCTCCTTTCTTGGGATTGAGCAATGAGAACCCCACGTACGTGAAATTTGCGCTGGACTTTGGCCTAGTGGGGAGGACAGGCCAGGATCTCGGCCTTACTTGGAGAGCACCGACATTGGCAAAGAGCGGCTGGACGGCTATGGGTAACGTGTTTGGTAACCAGACGCATGATCAGCATCAGGAAGATCCCGGCGCAAAGCCTCTGCTGCGCATCCTGCCTACTGGCCCAGCGCACCAAGTCCTGCGAAGATTCCGAAACCGTACTTTGTACTCCAATGTTGTCAATGATGGTATAGTACCATTGCGCACGAGTTGTCTTCTGTTCTTGGACTGGAGAGGCTTGGGTCGGGTCGAGAAGGCTCGTAGAGAAAACGGTCTCATCGGCACGGTAGCGGTCTGGGGCTACGGCCAGATCACTGGGCAAAACTCTTCGCCCAACCCCTCTAGAATTGGATTCTCGGACGATGAGGGTTCTGGGGTTGAATCGCCAACCTATAATGGCAACGATACTACCGTACCTCTGCCAGGCGCCGACGTCACAAATCAGGAAGACGAAGTACAAGTATCTACTGCAGAGCCAACAGCCCATCAGGCCATCGAAGGAGGGAAGAAGAGTCCAGAAGCCAAGGAGCCGAACGACCAGTACTTTCAGCCGCAAAACACTTTGATGCAGTGGTGGAGCTACATCAGGCCGACTGGAAAGCACACTTCGCGCGACAAGAAGATGTTTAGTCGTAGTCAGACTATTGGGAAAGACGAAGAAGACGAGCTTTCTCCGGCTGAAGCAGATCACGCAACATCGTCACATAGCGCACAACCAAGGAAGCGACCCCAAGCAACCCGTGGAGATTCAATTGTCGATAATCCCAAGAGCCATCTAGCACCACCCAAAACGACCATCTTCGAGTCTGCTGGTGACCTGATCAACCCTCCTGTTCCTCCCCAGTCCTGGATCACAGACCCGTCCACTCGAGCACGCACCATCTTCCACGACAGAATCTACCACCCTGAAGACATTCCTCCACCACCTACGAAAACGAAGCCAATCCGCAACTTTTCTGGTGACAGTACTGCTTCCAAGGCATCGACAACAAGTGTCGACGAAAGTGTGATGCGCGTGGAAGAGAAGATCGCTCGCGCTTATCATAAGGACCTTTCTTGGCGCAAGGTTCTCGTCAGCCTTGAGCCCGACGCTCATAACAACATGATAGTACGTCGCATGTTTGCTAATGCTTATGGTTGGCCTGTCGTCAAGCACCTTTGCGACACGCACTTCGCAGACACTTATTCGGCAAACACGCGGGATGAAGAGGAGCCCGCCCTTGATCGTGCACAAGCCGTGAACAAGCCCATTAACGAAGACGGCGAACATGTCAAGGGACAGGAGCGACTGCAGCCACCTATCGAGCGCACTGATAGCGAGATGAGGGAAGTCGCGGACGAACTAGCCCCGCTCAAGCCGCCCAGTCTAAGGATACCCAAGAGATCGAATACGACCGACTCGACCCGTAGTGTGGGTTCGGGCGATTGGGACAGTATTTACTTCGGAGAGACTAGTGACGAGGAGGATGAAGTGGATGACCGCAACGCTGTCCAGAAGTTCTTCCAGCCTAACATGCCCAGAAGCCCGCGAAGTCCTTCCGGAGGTCCACCCAAAACACCGGATGGCAAAGGCACGAGCGATGCAGACATCTCCGACTTTCTCCATGGATCCAGCACACTTGAGGTTCACCGAGGTCTTGGCGCAAGTCCCAGCAGCAAGTCATCGAAGTCAGCTACATTGACCCGCGAACCGGATTCAATGGAGTCGACTGGCGAACCACCCAAGGCCTCTGAGGAAGCAAGACCGGTAACACCTGCTGGTAGAATAAGCGGAGTTGGGTTGAGGAGTTCTATCGATATCCCTGCGTCGCCAGAGGCCGGGCGGGCAAGAAGTGGGAGCACTGTCACTGAGCAGGTTGCAAGGCTCAGCAGCCCCAAGAGCGACAAACATACAACGGGCTCGTAGCATCGAGTTCGTCGATGGTTCAGACAAGCGATGGCAGCCCTTAGACGCAGGAGTTCGAAGTTGCGACGTCGAGATAACATCCGCGTTTCCAGCGTGTAGCACAGGTTCAGAAGTTTTGCCTGGTCTATTCTTCGACTTCTTGTGAGGGTCAGTCAAGCGTTTTCGGTCTCGGGTGCAGTGGGTGTTACGTGACGTTGGGTTTGAGATCAGTGCACAGAGACGGATGCTACACGAGCGAAGTCATGGATCGTAGCACAATCGCGTACACAAAGATACCCCCAGATCTTATTACATGGTTTGTAGGAGCAAAGGTCTTCTTTTTCTCGTAGCGTCGTTTAACTCTATTTACTCTATAATTCTCTTCTTCGGGGTCGTTCTTTCCGTCGCTACATGCTCCTTCCCAAATCTGTGTCTTTT